TGAGTAAACAATCAATGTCTACGTGACCAAACTATATAACCAACTCATAGCTCATTGAAAAGACAGATAAAATCAAAATACTTGTAGGCAGATTTTGTGCTTGTCATTAAACAAGACCATAGCAAAATCCAGATATTACAAGAGCCAGAGACATAAACAAATCATCAAATAAAAATGCAAATCCCATTAAAAAGAATATTTAAAACATGTAAAACTAGATGCTATCATGTTTTCTCCATTTAACAAAGAACTCATTATTCTTAAAAAAGAAAGAGAGCTAAAATCTCACTAATATTCATCATCATTGGTTACTTATTTTTCTTTTTCTCAGTTTCTCTTTGTTCGATACCATCATGTTGCTCTATTTAACCAAAAACTCATTATTCTTAAAAAAAAAAAACTAAAACATACCTAAAATAAATTCTAGAATATTAGAAGATATATTATTTGAATAATTTATATAAAAATACATATTACCTTATATAGAAAAAAAATTAATACAAATCCATATCAAATCCATGACAATCCATAGCAATCCATAAGAATATTTTGTAAGAATCAATGACAATGCATAAGAATTTCTAAAATCTCTTAGAATTCTAAAATCCATAATCGGTAAAGCGAGATTAGGGTAGTAATGGGCCCGTGAAGCCCATAAGAAGCCATTTAAATACTCCACTAAAGCCGAGAAGATTGTTAACTTCTTCTTCTTAAAACTTGAAAAGAGGAAGGAAGATGAAAAGACCTTAATTAAATCCTCTGAATCGACATTGTTGCTGCTTCGAAGATAATTCCTCCATTCTCAAGGTTCGGGATTTTCTGTTTCCTCCTTAGATTCATCATTCTGCATTTCGCTTTTCTTATTTTTTTTCGTTCTATTTTCATCGATCGACAAAATCAAGAAATGGGTTTCTGTTTTCTCTTTCCCTGAGAACTTAAACTTTTTCCTCTGAAGCATTCTTAAAGTTTTGTTCCTATTTAAAGAGATTGGATTCGGTTGATGGTACTTCACTGGAAATTGTGGGTCCCCGATACTGTTTGATTCTTCGTTTTTTTTTCCTTAAAAGCAGAAAACCCTTTCTTCGTCACTTTTGTTTTTGTCACGGATTTCGTATGAACAGTTATTTTTACAATATCGAATTTAAAGTCGAATTAGTTATGTGGTTTAGTTACATTAGCTTATGGTTTATTGGATTCAAAATCAAACAATTATTGAAGTTGGGAATGTGAAGAGGTTTTTGATTGAAGTTAACGAAGGGGTTTTGATATAATAATGGGTTTAATTCCTTTCTAATGGTGTGGTTGGTCCGCTTACATTCCA